AACACTGGACCTTGCTTTACGAAAGGAAAGGAGAAAATGCTGCCCCACAATGCCTTGCGGCCGCAACATTTACCGTGACACCCGATTATGACCGAGAAATGATATCATGAAGGTTACGGTGCTTATTAAGCATTTTAAAACGTATGTGGTAACTTGCCAAAGTGCTTTGTTTTGAACGTTCAACACTATAATAATCAAAAGGAGAAATATGAACGTTAGTTTTTACTGAAATGATCAAATAAAGTCAACATTTCACAGTCTTTACTGAGCTGTGTGGGGTTTGTTAAACTTTTAAAAGATGTTTGAATGGTGATATACACAGTGATAGATGTTAAGGACTAACGTTTATAATAAATACATTTGTATTGATTTTAAGATCTTTTCATACAATCATACGTATTGGGATCATTTGTATTAATGTGGACCGGAGGGAGAGGGTGACGAGCATAAGTTTCACTTTCCTTTTTTATTTCAATTCCAACTTTGGTCATGAAGAATATGTTTCTCTGTTGTCCACGTTCATAAAGCATAAAACAACAGCATCAGAGCACGGTGCAGAGTCTCTTGATGAGTTTACAGTAGTCCGCCGTTCTTATTATACATCCATGTTGTAGTCCGCTGTATAGAAAACTGCAGTTTCCCCACAGCAGACTCACATCTAACAAAATGGTCCATGTGGATGGCCCTTGTACCTTTTTTGTAGAAGGTATCACTGGTTGAGCTATGGGTTATCTGGACAAAAGTAGGAACCTCATAGATTTACAGTAGGAAATTCCTTGTTATGAGGGATATATGTATTGTTCTTAGTAATAATTTAGTCTGTGGGTGTAGCTGTCTTTTATTGGTTTGTAGTGTTGGCTAGTTGCCCTTGTGTTTGTGATGACGGCCCATGATTAATATTTAATATCCTGTGTCTGTTGGCTTTATTATTATGTTTTTCTTTTTAGTATTAAGTTGTTTAAAGGCCCTGTGTTAGCCCTAGGGCCATATCTTTTTCTTACCATTTGTAATGTTCTTGATCATATGAGCATGTCTGCGTCAAACCCATTTACTACAGTATGTTACTCTGTATTTTGGTACGTGTTTATTCTGTTAATGTGGATGGTTTAATTATATCTGAATAGGTAGACCTCTAAGAACTCCTTACTTACTAATTTCTCCAGTGCCCCTTTCATAATTACTACAGGCACCAGAAATGTCAGTGCATCAATTCTAACCCTCCCAGAAGTTATCCAGCTTACCAAGACATAATAACTTCCTACTGTGCCAATGAGCAGTTAGAGTAGGGACATACCACCTCAAATCTATTCTACCAATGACAACTGGCAACAGAAAGAAGAAGACTATCAGCTTAAAAACAGACCCTTTATTTAGAGAAAAAAGTTGTTCACTCTATTATATATACACAGTAGAATAAACACATTAGGTCTGACTACTGCAAACTGAAGGTGAGGGGGAGTGTGTGTGCGAGCATATGTTAGGGTGTGTAGTATATGGAAATGTGAACACGTGTGTAAAGATGAGGTGATGTATCCTTGAATAAGTCTTGCAACATGATGAATTCATGGTTTGAAATGCTTCTAAATACAGTAACAATTAAAGATACAAGCAGCAATGAAAAGGTCCTCGCACCTCTACACGCGTTGGAGGTATTGACGGAGCGTCGTTTACCACTGAAGATGTATTGCTTTGAGTGTTGGAGACTGTACGAACAAATGGACATAACGTGTGATGCGCTGGTTCCAAAAGCCTTTTGAGAACACACACCTAAACATTATGTTGCTCTATGTCATATGTAAGCTGTACCAATTAAAGTAACTTGTGATATATCATGATTATTCACAGGTTATTATGTGATGAAAGCGATTATATATTTTTAATCGATTGACAGCACTAATTTTGATGTAAGCCTCTTCCATCATCTAATGTTTATTCCCTACTAACCCAGTAATACTATATACATGCAGGTTCTGTTGGATGTCTTTCAGAATCACACACACACACACACACACACACACACACACACACACACACACACACACACACACACACACACACACACACACACACACACACACACACACACACACACACACACACACACACACACACCTGCTCCTGTGGGAAGTGTCTTATTACATCTCTTTGAAAATGGAAAATAGTCACAGCCAGCTCAGGCTTTTCAGTTTTTAACTGGACCAACACTAGAGAGTGATGATAGGACATATGACACAAACACAACCCTGCACACTGTAATGCAATGCAGTGTGTATATGTTATTATTTTTTGTGTGCGATTGTGGCTGTGAGGGAGTGCAGTAGTCTTTCAACGAGAAGGTTGGGGGTTCAATCCCAGCCCGTGGAGTCAACATGTCGATATATCCTCGGTCAAGATACTTAACTCTTGCCCCTTTCACACCAACGCAGTTCCAGGGCCGGTTCGGAGCTAGAGCCTGAAAAGCACCGGTTTTTCCTGTTCACACCGCAGCGGAGCTCCGAAAACCGGTGCTTTTCAAGCACCAAAAAATTGTCGGTCTAGAAGCAAGAACCGCATACGTCACGCTTGCGTCGGAAGCGGGGGCAGGGGCAGGGGCAGGGGCAGGGGCGGGATCAACCTCCTGAACAAAAAGCCAGTTTGTACACAAAGCAAACAGAGCAAAACCAAAACGAGTAGCGCTTCAATACAATCGGCTATTGTTGTTGTGGTCGATGTGAGGGGTTTCCGCGTGGTTTGGCTTTATGAAGCAGGCACGTAAACGGTTACGTCATGACGCAAACGATGACACAATGACGCAGCACCACTCGGGCTCTGGGCGGTGTGAACAAAGCGGGGGCTGAAAAGAAAAACCGGATCCGAACCAGAAAAGCTCTAGCACGGAGCGAGAACGGGAACCGCGTTGGTGTGAAAGGGGCATCTGAGTAGCTCCCGATGGCCAATGATGTTTAAATGTGTATGAATGTGTTAGCTTCCCTAGAGCAAGTGTTACTGCTCTGCATGAATGAGGTGTGAATGACCTGATAAAGTGCTATATAAGTACATGCAGTCCATTTACAATATATATATATATAGGATGTTGATAAAGCCAAGGTTTTGATGTAATTTAACAATATTGATTTTCCTCAACGACTCGAGAAAATGCCTCATAGCAAGTAAGGAACAAAACGTTTGTACACGGCCCAAGGAGTTTATTGAACAGTCTCTCGTTAGAGAGTTGCCTTGATTTGTTTCTTTGTACTTGGTTTGTAAATCTTTAAAGTTAACAATTCCCTATTACCTTATCCAAGATCATTCCCCCTAAATTGTGTCACTGTTTATTTTGTAATTTTTTTGGATTGGAGTTCACCTTAATAGAGAGATTACAGTTTTGTATTTTTTTATTAAAGTATATGGGTTTCTTACATTTAACCGCCACAAAATAACGTGGATTGTAACATACAAATACATTTTATGATTACTACTTTAACTCAATTGTATGTGTTTTATTCAAATGTATAGCATCTGTGGTCTTACAATTATGACTCCAGCAATAATACTTTCAAGCTGTTTAAAGCACACACAAAAAGACATTACCCCGTTGTGGGGACTGGCATATTGTCCCCCCAAGAAATGGGAACCCCAGCATGACACTTTAACACACACACACACACACACACACACACACACACACACACACACACACACACACACACACACACACACACACACACACACACACACACACACACACACACACACACACTAGAAACTAGTGTACACATTTTAAACCACATGTTTAGACACAGTATGCAATTTTAACTTCAACATTTTTGTAAAATGTTGGTTTTATGTGTACAGTATATATGCTATCATTAAGCATGAAACTTTAAAGGTCTCCTATCATGCAAAATGCACTTTTTTATGTCTTTTATACATAAACATGTGTCCCTGGTGTGTAAGTGTCAGAAAATAAAACCCTCTCTCTTTTCCTCCGTACCAAAATCTCTAAAAACGGAGGTACAACGGAGCTGATCCAGATTTGCGTCCAATATGACGTAATATCCAAAATGTGGGCTGGCATTACACCCACGGCCCTATCAGAAACGTGGCTATCAGAAACAATGCGCAACGTTTTGGAAGTAATATGGTCTTTGTTTACATTAGCAAGCATCGCTAACACTCAGAGCTAACCAGTACTGGAGAGAGTTTGTGTAAAAAAGCAGGAAATAAAAAAAGAAACTCACCTCGTGGTAAACCCTTGAGAGAAAAAGCCAGGGCTGAAATAGAGGGGTATGAGGCATGGCTAGAATGGGTGATCTGTTTTGGTATTTTGAGCAAAACACTTAATAGACATATTTATAAATCTATATATATCTGAGACCTATAATATATGCTTAAATATATATAAACTGAGACTTTTAATGGTTATAGATATTACATTTTCACAATTATAGTCTGCCCTGTGTCTACAACACACCTCAGCCGACCTTCTTCTCGTGAGGTGATATTTGTTGGGGGACGGGGATCCCATTCTCAACCAGGTTTAGCATTAGTGATCCATGCGGCCAAAAGGTCAAACTCCCCTTGAGACGGGGGAAAGAATCAGCAGCTGTCCCTCTCTCTCTCTCCTCCCTTGTGAATTTGTCTGGTCGTAAGCCCCTCTGATCTCTGTTTTGGCTTTCCCAAAGCAGAAGACAAAGAGGAATACAGATACAGTGAGGAAGACCGGGAGTGAAGGATTTAAATGTGAGAAACGGTTAGTTAATTAAAAGGCTGCTGGGGATTTCCATGTTTAGACCCTGCTGACTACGGCTCCCAGGCTCCTGAGAGATCTGCCGAACCCCTGCACCCGCCCCCCCCTCTACTGTTTTTAAGTAGTCCAACCGTTTCAATCGCTACTGTTCTGTCTCTCTTCTTGCTTTGTGCAAAAAGTTTGAACTCTGCTTGCTTTGGATATCCATCACTTTTTTATTCAAGGTACCAGGTCATTACTCAGCTAGCTGCTGCACCTGCTGAACTACACCATGCAGAGAAATCCACGCTCCGATAATATAGCATCTGAGCAGAATCATACGTAAGTACGGGAACTTTTTTGATCTGTGAGAAAAACGATAGATTTCATCGCAATAGAATACAACCAACTCGACGGCTTGTGTTTTTAAACCTGAAAGGACAAAAATAATCAATAATTCTCCTAGCTGAAAATACATTGTGTGTTTTACTTGTCTACGTTTTCTTTCATAGATTCAATATGCAGTTTGGCTACTAAATGTATTTTTTTTCCATGACCACAGCAATGTTGTTAAGTTTAGCACTGCACAAAAAAGCATGTTATTTTAGACATCACAGAGGTGACCTAAAGGGTATTGTAAGACAGCCCTCATACCATCAGTCATCAAACCTTTACAACATTTTGAATTCCTGAACTTTTTACGATCAGTAAATCCCAGAACTAGGCTGCCATATCGTACATCTACTGTATCCCCATCCAGCCATACATAAATCTAACCTGTGTTGAGTATTCTCAGACATAACGTGACCAAATCCACCGTTACAGTAGATATCTAAATCAGCTGGGATGATATCAGGTTGCGTGAACAAACTGCAAAATGATTTACTGTTGAGTCAGAAATAGTGCCACTTCCGATGCTGCTCGTCCAATCTTAGTCTGGGACAAGTTTCCATGCAAGATGAGCCTTTGCAAAACTCTAAAAGTAGTTCAACTCTCTCGGCTTCCCCCAGCAACTGGACACTGACACAACAGATGCACAGGCCGTAATGCTGGAGACTATAGAATCAAGATATGACGTTTGTTTTTCTGCTTCAAGGTCATCTCATAAATTGGAGGCCATTGGATGCCATGACCAGCTGGAACCAAAGGAGAGCCAGGACTCCGAGGACCCTGGAGAATACTGCTATGGTACAGCAGGGTCTCTTAATTCCATTCATCATCTGCAGATGTCAACGCTGCCAATGTCACACTTGCCTTTTCATGCCCTCAGTACAGCCTGTATTGCGCTAAATGATGCGTTCATCGACAGTATAGACTGGTGTATAAGCAAGCTAAGGAAGGACACTGTTTAAAATCTCTACAGTCAGTAATACATCGATGGAAAACAGGATGCCGTTATATTTCTCCTCCGCCAATTTTTGGAGGGTTGTAGCTACCGTATTTTCCAGGCTACAAGTCGCACCTGAGCAGACATCGCGTTAACCGAATAGCCTTGACTTTTTTCTTCTTTGGTGGTACAGCAGTTTTCAGTTGTCACGATTGTATACAGTGCCATCTATTGGCTGGAGTTTGAACGCAGTCAGACAAAATTCAATATATAAGTTGTTTCGGAGTATAAGTCACAGGACCAGCCATACAGTTAAAAAAAACGCGACTTATAGTCCAGAAAATAAGGTATGTATTTTGCTTCAAAAAGGAATAGCCCCTTCAAGAAATCAAATCAAATCAAATCAAATCAGGTTTTATTTATAAAGCACATTTAAAAGCGATTTTTGGTCGAGCCAAAGTGCTGTACATGTAATAAAAACACATTGCTACAAATCACAATAAACGACAATAAATTACAACAGATATATCTTAAAAACAAAATAAAAATAAAACACACGGAAAAGTCAGGAGTCGTGCTCCGCTCTAACTAGAAAGCCAGAGAGAAGAAGTGTGTTTTTAGTTTAGTTTTAAAAACCCCTAGGGTCTGGGCCGACCTCACAAGGAGGGGCAGAGTGTTCCAGAGCCTAGGGCCAGCTGCTGCGAATGTTTAAGAATGTATAGATTCCGATTGGTTTGAAGTCATTGGAGGCCATCAATGTCAGCAACAACAATTACAATCCATTCATATTTGTAGAGAAATGTATTACTTGACCAATGTCCCTTCAATCTCGGAATTTATCCGCTAGCACTTTAAAGGCAGTTACATGTTACAGATATTGGGGCCAGAGTATTTTTTTTCTTTGAGGTAGTCATTTTTTGCAGTCCTACTGGAAACTTGAGACAGAAGAATGGAGTTTGAGTTGACAGACAACGTATAAGGCTAATCTCTGTACACAGAGGTCAACAGATGAAGACAAATAAAATAATAAGCTATTTAAAGCCTACATTGTCAACAGTTAGCTTATGGGTTTTTTACCTGTAAGAACCCAAGTTCGCTCAAACGTGATTGGTCAAGGCTACTCGGAGGACAAACAAGAATGCTTCTAATATCAAAATCTTTATGTAGAGATTCTGCATTCACGCAGATATCTTTTTATAGAGATTACTGTGCTCTTGAGCGACAGCAAGGCTAATAAAACCCATTCCAAGTAAACTAATGGTAATCTTTACCATCTGTGGTTATAAAATACAACTGAGATACGTTTTGATTGGGACATCTTACAGTGTGAAATACCTTCCAAGCTTTTTTGGTTTGTGACCTTTGAATGGTTCTCATGACCCTCAACCTCGGCTCCTCCCTTATTTTATTACATTTAAAGTTGCAGAATCTTTTTGCCAATGTGGCATCCTGACCTCGATCCCTCTTCCTCTTTCTATCCCTGCCAGCTGTGCAGTTCTCTGCTTATACCTCCAAATAACCTGCTGAGTATGTGAAACCACATATACCTGACTCGGCAAAAAAATAATATATATCATGCTCAGTAGATATAGAGATGCGATTTCTAGATCTCTGACGATGTCCAAAACCTTTGTGTCATGCTGGCTGACAGAACTGATCCGGGCTCATGCATCATGTCTCGCTGTGAGATTTGAATGTATCACTCACCACAGACATGTTATAGCTTAGAGGAAGCTGCAATGCCAGAAATAGCTTTAGTGCCACATTTAGTCATCTCTCTCTAAGGTTTATACACCAGTTGAAAAATGTGTTCTGTAAGATTTAAAGGTTTCACATTTCTGTCATTGAATAATATAAGCATTCTCTTTTGTTTTTAACTTTCAGGTGGATACCACCCTGTCCATATAGGTGACACATTCAACAGACGATACCAGGTGGTGTCTAAGTTAGGATGGGGCTATTTCTCCACCGTCTGGCTATGTCAGGACCTCAGGTAGGTTTAATTAGGACCTGTACAACAATTAGGGTTAGGGTTACATTTATTTTCTATTTATATGGACCCTACTCTTGACTCGGAACCCATCGGCTATCGGTATTACGATTTAGCCAACGCAGATATTTCCATGGTTCTGGTGTAGCCTTTGGATATCTGGGCCAAGACTTCATTTTCTTTGCAATGGTCATGTTTACATCTGATCGCAACTTCAAACACCCCAATGGAGTGGGAGTTGAGAGAAAATGTCTACGCCCAGTCAATCAACAATTAATCATAATTAATAGTTAATTTTATCACCATTAAAAAGTGTATTCTTTGTCCTACGTTCAATGGGTTCAGCGATTGCTTTCTGGCCAATGTGTTCCAACTCTTTTTACCTGCATGCAACCAAAGCTCGCTCCGATGCAATTGTTCGATACTAATTGTCATTTTAAAAGAAACTAAAATGCATCAGTTACCGCAATTGAGTTCTGTTTTATACAATTTTTTTTTAGCAAAGTTGCACACATTTATAAATAATTTAGAAAAATATCTATTTTTAAATATTAAATAATGACCTTGAACTACCCTTTTGTGGGTCTTGTTTTTGCATAAACTGAAGCTATCAGTCTTGGTTCCTATCTGTTGACTACTTTCAATTTCAAAGCTGGGAACTTACTGTTACGGCCTAGAGATATTGGACCCCAAAGCAAAAGACTTAGAGAGAGAGATGGTCAAAAACAAAAAGTTTATTTTAAGCAGAGGCACAGTAAGCGGCAGTGTTATAAGCAGATCTAAGAACACAAACACCTGCACGTTCCTACTGTACCATTAATCATGAGAATAATTAATGATTATAACTGAGGAATGAGCACAATAAGATATAATTAAAGTTAGAACAACATCAAAACAACGAACTATACAAAACATTGTACGTAAATATATTTGACCACATTTTGTTTTTAACCACCCAGCCCCCTCTAATAGTTTTTGTACATTCCCGTTTCTTTCACTTTGTTCTTATGATGATTACAAATACATGTGTGACCCTATAACACAGCTTCTGTGGATTCAGCCGCTCTCCTCTCCTGTCCCAGGGCAGATCTGATGTAATGTCTGTGTTAGCAGGCTGGGTCGGAGCGTTGCTGTGAAGGTCCTGAAGAGCGGAGCTGGTTTCACCCAGGCAGGACAGGATGAACTGGCTCTCCTACGATGCGTCAGTGACCCGCTGTTTCTACTGTCTAACATGTCCTACCCTTTCTGTCAAATGCTATTTATCTTACTATTTGTCCAAGCACTTGGCTTTACAATTCTTGTATACCCTTGTCAACTATATCCCTTTCCACCCTAAAATACCCTCACCAATGCTAAATTGCAATGTACACAATTCGTAATGCCCTTTCATCGTTTTCTTCTTTATGTCTGCTTTTTTAGTCTTACTTGTAAAGCTCCTTCCCTTCTCTCTTTAATCAGGCAACCGGTCCTACGAGCCGTCGTCCCTCTAGTCAAAGGATCGTTCAGTTGCTCGATGAGTTCAAGCTGGCCGGGGTCAATGGGGTCCGTATCCTTTTTACAGACTGGGCATAAGCCAGATCCGAAGAGTTTTCATGTGTGAGGGTTTGATTTGATATATTGAACACATCTCTGCAATCTCTACCAGAGCATTGTTTTCAGAGATGTTAGAACCAGACAGTTTTGCATTGTGTCATACACTTAATGCCTAGTGAATAGTCTGCAGACCTGTAAAACGGACCTTAAAGTCTGGTGGTCAGACATGTGTCTGGTGCTGGAGCTGTTGGGGCCCGACCTGAGGAGCTGGCAGCTCTGTTTTGGGAGTCCTGGACTGGCGCAGCGTTCTGTCAAACAAATACTGACCCAGGTAAAGAAAACCTCAGAAAACTAAGATTAAAACTTAGTATAGATTGACACAGGTATTTTCTAAACGTTGCCTCTTCTACAGTATTTGTCATGTACTGTAACCAACATTGTTTAGGTAACCTTAAGAATTAGATCTTTTGTAAAACTATTTCCACGGATAAGATTTTAAGAAATTCAGTGTTCAGTGTTAACATTTAGACAGAGAAAACTATTTTGCCTTCAATGTCAGAATTGACTTGGATCAATCAGTCAATCAAAAATACTTTCTTAATCCCAGGAGAAAATTATGTTTTGTGACAGTTTCACCACCTGTCAGCTCAAATAGTCCGGAATCCATCTGGGGAAATGTTGGAAACAGAAATGTTGCTGATAATGTTGAAGCCATCGATTTGGTGCTCTCTACATGCCGTTTGTACTCTCAAATTAGTAGCTATACCTATCTTATCAACAATTGCCTCTCCTGAAGTAAAGTATATTGATAATGTCAACCTTTTGAGATTTGTTGTGTATACCACTTACGTTTACATTTCAACACACTGTGGGTTTGCACAATTGAAGGCAGAGGATAAATATGTGTTTAGATGACCCAATGTCTCTGTTTTGCTGTTTCTTTCTCTCTAGATTCTGCAGGGCCTGGAACATCTTCACACACAGTGTAAAATCATCCACACAGACATCAAGCCTGAGAACATCCTGCTGTGTATGGAGGAGCAGTCCCACAAAGCACCAACAGGGGAGAGCAGCTCCTCATCTGTGCTCAATGGGAAAGAGGCCAAGTCCACAGGCACTTTTTTTTTTATTGCTACAGATGCTGGAGATTGTTTGAGTGAAGTCTTGAAGCTGGACGGATACCAGCTGAGCTGTCTGAGCTGCTATGCAGGGTTCATCACATTTGAGTATAAAGCAGATGAACTCTTAGCCTATTTCTGTGCAAATGTCTGGTTTTAAATATATCTTCTGCTCTTTAAACGCATATTGTAAATATTAGTTTGTTGTACTGATATCTAAACTAACACAGGAAGAAAACAAATTATTCTTTATAACTTAAGATGCAACATGCATACAATCTCAAATATCAGACATGGAGAAAACTGTCTTATTATGACATCAGATATAATTTTTTACTAAGATGCTAATACATTATTTCTTGTTGTGTCTTTCAGAGAAAGGGCAGAACTCCTACAGTTCAAAGGACTTTACAGTGAAGATTGCAGACCTAGGAAGCTCCTGCTGGGTGGTCAGTAGTTGCTTGATTAACTTTACATACAGCCATTTTAAAGCAAAGTGGAGGGTGCTACATTTGTTTGCTAAGGCAACTCCATAACTGCTTGATGTGAAACTAAGATAGGCAAACAACCCTGTGACTGTCATCACATTTTCATAAGCACTCAAGTTAATTCTGATTGGTGCACAAATAATGCTCACATCTTATCATTGAAAGATTTGCATAGTAAGATTTGCATTGTAGCATTGACTTAATATCAATGATGGCCTTGTTTATTTCAATTAAGCTAGATTTTTTTTATTAAGAATAATTTATAGTACATGAGGGTGTACAATATAATTTTGATCTTTATATCTGTCCCTCTCTTTCTTGGTGAAGTACAAACATTTCTGTGAGGAGATTCAGACCCGTCAGTACCGCTCACTGGAGGTTTTACTGGGATCTGAGTACGGCCCGTCCGCTGACATCTGGAGTGTTGCCTGCATGGTGAGTGAAAAACACACTGTATGATGTTTACACTGCGTAAAATACAGTTTGACATCATTTCATCAAATGGAAATAATGGTGGGAATCATTGTATATGGATTTCTCCTGAAATGTAACCAAACTGTATCTTTGACTACAGTTATAATAAAGTTCTGTGAGTTTCAACAAAGCTTTTACCAACTGTCCCACCAGCAGAGTTGGGTGTAACGCGTTACTGTAATATTACTTTTGTCGGTAACGGAGTAGTGTAGCGCGTTACTTTTATAATTCAGTAATCACACTACAGTTACTAACATTGCCCCGACACGCGTTACTTCGTTACTTTTATAAAATCAGTCATAATCACACTGACAGACAAGAGGGGTTTCCGCCGCAGGTTTATATGTACGTAATCTGCGCGATTTGCGCGTCCACATCTCCACGTGCAGTGCTGCATAAACATGGCTGAGTCAGCGATAACTTTCAAGGGGTGGAGGTATGCCCATTATTTTGAGTTCGTCCGAAGAATAGACAGGAATGTGACGGTGAGGTGCAAACTGTGTCCAGGCCAGAAGCTGTTATCCACTGCTGCAAACACCACATCAAACCTCAACAAACACCTGCAAAGAACACATGCTAAGGTGAAGCTAATAGCTAAGGACCCCCGAACCCAGAGTGAGGATGTTGTGAGTGCGCCGCCGCCGACTCCGAAGCAGCAAAAATGACCGGTAACCAAAGCAGAGATGGACAGGCTTGTAGCATCCTTCATAGTAGAGAAAATGTTGCCCATTTGCACAGTGGAATCACCATCGCATCGTTCAGAGATATACTGCGCAAAATACAGATAGCAGGAGACAGAGGACAGCCATGGTCAGAGCTATCTGGATCAGTCTTATGCGACAATGGAAACTGAACTAAAGAGAACATTTGAAACTTTAGCAGTCTGCGTGATCTGCCTGTAGGGAGGGGCGGGCCGGCCCTGCGAGTAAAGTAGCGAGTAAAGTAACGAGTAAAGTAACGAGTAAAGTAACGAGTTACTTTATGTAGAGAGTAACGAAGTAGTGTAATATATTACTTTTTTTTAAAGTAATATGTAATATGTAATATATTATTTTTTTTTAGTAACGACCCCATCTCTGCCCACCAGTTACTTAAGGTGATTCATGCGCATGTCTTTTTACCACCTTAAATGGCATTCACTGTAGCAATTTGCACCACAATAATGCTATCAAATAAATGTTTCACATTCTGAAAAGAAAAACAAATGTTTTATATGAAAAAACAATAAACTTTAATGTTTCGGGGAAACAACAAGTCAAATTTCTTTACAAAGTAAATTAATAGTGGGCCTAATACCAGGCCTTGAGGAACCCTACAAGTGCATTTTACAATTGTTAACAATTTTCTCAAAGTTATACTTGGTCAGAGGGAGTGTCAGAAATGTTGTTTTAAATAACAACAATAATAATAGTGCAAGCTCAGACTTTATGTAGTCTTATGGCCTGCGGGATGAAACTGTCAGTGAGTCTTGGGTTTTTTGTCCTGATGCTGCGGTACCACCTGCAGACAGAACAGTTTGTGGCTGGGGTGATGGGGGTCTTTTATAATCCGGAGGGATTTCTTCCTGAGCCGCTGGGAGTAAAGGTCCTCCATGGATGGCAGCTCCGTCCTGGTGATGTTCTGTGCAGTTTTCACCACCCTCTGTAAAGTCTTACGATTGAGGGCGGTGCAGCTGCCGTACCAGGCCATGATGCAGCCAGTCAGGATGCTCTCTATGGTGCACCTGTAGAAGGTCAGGATGCTCTCTATGGTGCACCTGTAGAAGGTCAGGATACTCTCTATGGTGCACCTGTAGAAGGTCAGGATACTCTCTATGGTGCACCTGTAGAAGGTCAGGATCCTCTCTATGGTGCACCTGTACAGATGGAGCCTCTTATTTTGGACGCCAGCATACAGCTTCCTGCCTACTGCCAGCCAGTTACCTGCCTAAGACCTGCCAAAGACCAGTATCCAGGAATGTTAGGCCCTCCCACTATTCTCCAATTTCAGGGTTTAACCAGGAGATGGCGCTATATATTAAATAACTAAGACTTAGTTTTTCACAATAGAAAATGCAGATATTATATAAAAAACTAAAGTTAAAATCTTGTTTTTAATGCCCCAAGAGCAATAACATCTTGTCACAAGCTTTTTGGAAGAAAAAGACTCACCCAAGAGACCTGTAGTTGACTAATTACAGGCCTCAATAAAGTTCTGCCATTGGTTGTGAAAAACAACGGTGGACATAGTGGAAAGTGAAATTGACATTGTCGAATTTAATAAAAATACAAAATAATGTATCTGTATACGTGTTTTACTATGTGATCTGCACTTATCAAACATCTAATTCAAGAATGGTAGCTGTACCTCTCAAACAACCTAAACTAGTTATAAATGTTTATTTTAAATAAAGTCTTTATGACTCGGAATATGAATAATATGGGTCCGTTACAGTTTGTTTTCATCTGATTTCAAATAAACAAAGTCTTGGCTTTCAGAATATTAAACTTGTTTCGGCAAATTTAGATGATAAATACAACTATGAAGCTTGTAACGGCATAATTACTTAAGCGGAGAACGGAGTAAGTAAACGTTACAGCAGGCATAACAACAGCCGGTGTTTATTTTATTATAATATATAGTCGTTTTATTATATAACTAGGCCCACAGACCTAGAGAGTACCAAAATACAGTGAGTCCTAAACACAAGTAGTCAGGGTTCATTTATAACGCTTATTTTGATTTATTTTTCTCAAATGATGCTGTATGTTTCACTTTCTGAAAGCGTTAGAATCGCACATGAAAAATATTGAAAGCTGCCAGCTGCCCTCGGCCATGTCTTTGGCGGTGATCCAAGCTTCGGTACCACAGTGGATAAAGTTAGTAATACATTTATACTGATCAAATGTCAATACATTACATAAGTCTTATTCTCATTCATACTTAATTTATTTCTTCTTCTGTCAGTATGAACACAAAAAACTAACCGGTATTACATTTCATTCTAAAGTTTACGGTCTAAAAAGGTATTTAAAACAGATAATTTGTCGTTGCTTTTGGCATAAGCAGTCAGAGGAAACATAACGTTCTCAGTAAGATTCCTTGAAGAACTAGAGCACAAGAACCAAAGTAAGCTTTACTTTCAATGAACCTTCAATATAGACCTAACATGTGAAGAAACATACTTTATTTAAAATAAACATTTATAACTAGTTTAGCTTGTTTGAGAGGTAATTGAAATAGCTAAGGGTGATGATCTGCGAACACAAACTACAGACTGCTGGAGAAGAGATATCACAGGGGGGGGGGTTGGGACACACACATTCCGATGGCCAATTCGTTTTAAACAAAGAGTAGGCTATACTCAACATAGTGGGGTGGGGGCTGGTGAACGGTATGGTCAATGTTTGTAAACACTGTGACATTTTGACTTTATTTAATCATTTCAGTTACAAACTAACGTTCATATTTCATATTACTGTTTTGCCTGGCTGGACCTGTAATTTACAGGAAAGGAGTGCACGCTACTAAAGAGACACGCTACCATGGAAACCAAACAATGGTGTTGCTGTATTGAAGTCCGAGTGGAAACAGTCATATTTGGAGCGTTATGTTAGAATGAAACAGCGAGGTCGTGACTCACAAAAAAAAAGTGTTACTTCACTAACTGTAAGCTTGTCACTCAGAGTAACCTACAGTTAACTTAACTGTTGGAAAAGAAAGATCAGGGGGGGAGAGAGCTGTGATGGGCCATTAGGAGTGTACACACACAGCTGAGAGCTGCCGTTTCATTCTGACTGTTTAAAAAACGGTAACAATGGACTATTTTTCTTAGCGGATGCATGTCAATTTAAATCAATACATACAACTATTTTTTAAATCAATAAAAATATTTTCTAAATCCATAAAAGCATTTTAATTAATATTGGGAGTCATGTCGTTACTTTGTTGAGAATGTGGCCATGTAATAAGCGGGATAATTTGCAGCGACTTGGTCATTATGGGGAAAAATAACACCCAGGGATCAAGATCCCTCCGCGACGCAACGCGGAGGGATCATTAATTTTTAGTGAATTACTGAGTTTAGGCACGTTAATAACATTTTAATGAAGTTGAATACAGTATATTCATATTTGTCAGTGATTTCATGTCAATTCGGCGAACATAAACGATTAAATTAGGATTAAAAATCGAGAGCCGGCTGCTGTTCGTTTTTTTCGACTAAACAACATTATTTTGTTAAATAACAACATGGTGATGTTTTGTAAATGATTACATGTCTTATTTAGCACAGACTATGATCCTATCCGTGACATATGGATCTTAACAAAGATCCGCTATACATTAGTACCAGACATACTGTACAAGACTCCACACATGACTCCAGTGTGGAACCCCACTGCACCCCCTGGTGGATCAATGATCCATTGCAGCTGGCTTCACAATAATTACATTTATTTATCACGGGGGCGGTATCAAGTCAGACTGGGGGCCGGCCGGCCATCACGGAACGTGCACGAACCGATCACGACCCTCGCATTTTAAACTGTCCAAAATAAGACGCTTCATCTGTAGAAGGTCAGGATGCTCTCTATGGTGCACCTGTAGAAGGTCAGGATGCTCTCTATGGTGCACCTGTAGAAGGTCAGGATACTCTCTATGGTGCACCTGTAGAAGGTCAGGATGTTCTCTATGGTGCACCTGTAGAAGGTCAGGATGCTCTCTATAGTGCACCTGTAGAAGGTCAGGATCCCCTCTATGGTGCACCTGTAGAAGTTGCAGAGTATCCTGGAGTCCATGTTGAACCTCTGCAGCCTGCGGAGGAAGAAGAGCCGCTGTTTTGGTGATGGTGTTTGTGTGATGAGTCCATGTTAGGTCCTTATAGATGCTAACTCATACATCTTACCCTTTATGTTTTCTCTTGCATTCTCTCAGGCCTTTGAGTTGGTCACTGGAGATTCCCTGTTTGAGCCCAAAGCTGGCGAGTCCATTTCTCTGGAGGAAGGTACATTCAGTACAGTTTGCTGACACTGACAGAGGCGTGACAAACACTGACACAGGATTAAATAGGATTACACTGTTGCTGCCTTGTAACTGTTGATGCAGTGCATGCTTATGTGTACAGTACACTTGTGTGTCTCATGCTTGCATGTCTGTTCTCTCCCCTCAGACCATATAGCCCAGATCATGGAGCTGCTTGGTCAAATTCCGCCAGTTGTTGCCTTGTCGGGTAAATACTCTGCAGAGTACTTCAGCCCCAGAGGTAAGTCTGCAGTTTGTATGCATGTTGTGTGCTAGCACGTCTTCACATTAAATGATATCATCAAGATTTGTAATGACTATCTGGCAAACCAGGGCCTCCTGTTAGGTTGCCCTATTGGTGGGCAGGTGGATCGTCAACAAATCTGTAACATTTTCAACGGTCATCTGGCACTATGTCTCTTTACGACGCTTTCTTGGTCATTACAACCAAGAAACATCCTACTGAGGGTCACAGTTTTAAACTTGTGCTTAACAGTTTTAGTGAAAATACAACAAAATAACTTTGTTCCAAACTAGTTGGTTTGAGTAAAGATCATGGTTCGGCTTAGAATATGGTGTTAGGGGTTTGTTACAAATTCAATTACAGCCTTTAGAATTACAGAAAACTTGTTGTCTTTTGGTTTTATGTGGGACCCAAACAGAAGTCAGAAACATATTTGTGATGTGCCAAAACAAGTGTATCAAGGAAAACATGTGTTTCCCTCAAAAAGATATTGACAATGCAGTTTCTTTGAAAAAATTGTGAGAACGTAACATTCCCCCCACCCTCAACTAAAATGACACCTCTAATTCCGGCCTGGAGTTGTGATGTTTTATACGCAATGACAGTCTCCCAATCCCAAACCGTAACTGCCTGTCATATATACTCTATAAACCCCCTTCCCCTAGTTTCTCTACCAGTACACCCCTGATATTGCCCGACTGATTCATTTTGAAATTGCAAAGATGCCCTATTCTGGTTGCATTTCCTCTAGGTAATCTTCGTCGTGTGGGCCCACTGAAGCTCTGGAGACTCTACGACGTTCTGGTGGAGAAATACAACTTCCTGTTGGAGGATGCCGCTGGTTTTTCAAACTTCCTTCTTCGCATGTTGGACTTCCATCCAGAGAGGAGGGCCACCGCTGCACAGTGTCTCCAACACCCTTGGCTGACATCCTGTTAGCAGTCCTCACAGCGAGATTCTGGCAGCAGAACCATTTTGAAGCAACAAGTCCTCCAACTCATACGACCAAATAGGTCGATTGTTCAAGCCCTTATTACGACATATAATCACGTTTTAAAGTTTTCGACCTCTAGTGCTCCCGTTGAATGTAAACGCTACGCAGGGTCGTATATTCACTAATAACCCTCTCTGGAAAATCCTAAATTGTAGGATAGTTTGGCCATTAAATGCTTTTTGATTAGATTTCTAGCGAGAAGTGTATATTGTACTTTCAGAATCCACGTCCAGTGGATGTGTAGGATCTATAGTTTGATAGATATTACGAAGATGATTTGAGATCTCGCCAGGAGAACGTGTATATGCGGCAGCCTCCATGTAAAGTTAGCGTCAACACTCACGGGGTGAAAACAGTATTTCCAGTCTCGAAGTTTTCATAATAAAACCGTATTCCCCCCTCTGTCAAATGATTTCACAGTGATATCTGCAGTACTCATCCACTAAAAACATCAGTTTATCCTTGTTAATTAGACAAAATTAATTGGTTTCATCACATAACGGCATTGTAATACACGGTTCGGCTGCATTAAATATTACACATCTGCAGTAGTTCTCTATTTATAGAGCCCTGATTAGAAGACCTTTGGACAAACTGGAAACACAATACATCTCCTTGCAGTATCAACACTAATTCGGCTGACTTTTATATCTGATCCAATTGGTAGATAGGCTGTATTTACACCATAACGGTGTACAGCTGATAGAAAGGGACTTGTAGTTTTTAGAGATATTACTGATTTTCTTTGAATTAAAGAATGTAAATACTGAGTTGAGAGAATAGTCAGGAGTTTTGGGTGATGGGAGACACATCTATGGATTCAGAATTTCAATGGCTTACCATTAAATTACGGATATACCTTTCTGTTTGTGATGTTTTACAAATCAGATATTAATGTGTATACACATTAAAATCTGATATATGACATTATATATATGATATATATATATATATATATATATATATATATATATATATATATATATATATATATATTGCATAGTTTATTTTGGCACTTGACAATCACCTTCCCTGAATTTTACTCTCTGAATTGTAGTGGAGTAGAACAAAGTAGTACTTGCTGCTGTAACAAAAACATTTCCCAACTTGGGATCAATAAAGTATATCTTATCTTATCTTATCTTAAGATGATCGATGGCAACTGCCATATTTGCAAAATTTGCCTCTGAACCTTGACAAGTGCATGTTTCAGGCTTATCAATTAACAACAGGAGGGGTCACAGACATAAGACCAGCTATTAAATAAAGCTCTTCTGACCTTAGCTGTCATGTGGGTATATTAATGCTGCCTATTATGGACACAAGCAATTTTCACCCATTTATTGATTATATGGTTTTAAATTTGATAACACCAATGTGTTTCGTATCCCCTAAACCTCCAGGGGTGTAAACAGTTTACTACTGTCAACTTCTAATTATGGGAAATACGAAAACGTCTTTTAAAACTACAATTCCCAGTAGAGACGTGCCATAGAACATGTTGCGAAACACAATAGCCAGCATGTGTAGTTCTGGGGGTGGGAGGGGGGGAGCTGGGCTGGATCCGTTCGAGTCCAGTTTTGAATAGTCTGCCGTGGTTACATTCCATTTCAAAGAGCTATTTGACGCTCTGTGTCATAGATATATATAAACACTAGATGACTCACCCGTGCTGCTGGCCAATGGAGACCGACGTTGCCACATGGCGGCCATCTTGCCACAGGCAGCACGCTCATTCATAACATTATGTATATGGTGCACTATTGAAATAACCGTAGATTGCTCAATTTTCAACCAATTTTCAAACGGTTTGGTTTGTTATAAACATCAAAGATGTAGTTATGATACTACATACTTATAATTATAATCATGAACTTTTTTTTTCAACATGTCTTGTTGCTGTATAATAGCCATGCTAATAACATTTATAATAAACCAAACCGTTTGTAAATCAGTCAAGATTTCAGTCAGTTAAGAGTATTTTTGTGCAGATCACTCACCTTACAACAGCTGTAGCAGTAGTTGTTGACTGTGGCAAGATGGCCGCCGGTGAGCTACGCTGGCGACTCCCCCTTGAGCCATCTAATGTTTGTATATATCTATGCTCGGCGTAACCTTGTCGCACTGCCACTCCAACATCCAATCACAGAGCTTGAGGACTAATCACGGGGTTTGTAAAGCAAAGCGGATGTTGTAGTCCCAAACGATAGCTGAGGATTATGGGTAGTGTAGTGTCTTCGGGAAACTCTGTAGTGTCTAAACTCCGAAAAAACTATTTGTTTCTCCGAATCGAAGGTTAAAAACACAAAAGCATTGTACACAATTTAAACCAATCAATATTGTGTAATTAACAAGGATAAACTGATGTTTTTTAGTGGACGAGTAATGCAGATATCACTGTGTAATCATTTGACAGTGAGGGGAATACTTCCGGTTTTATTATGAAAACTTCGAGACCGGAAATACTGTTTTCACCCGGTGAGGGTTGACGCCAACTTTACATGGACGCTGCCGTCAATAGAAATGAATAGGGGAAAGACGTAGTACAGTATATACACGTTCTCCTGGCGAGACCACAAATCATCTTCGTAATATCTATCAAACTATAGATCCTACACATCCACTGGACGTAGATTCTAAAAGTACAATATACATTTCTCGCTAGAAATCTAATCAAAAAGCATTTTAATGGCCAAACTATTCCACAATTTAGGATTTTCAAGAGAGGGTTATTTGTGAATAAACGACCCTCCGGAGCATTTGCAATCAACGGGAGCATGTTGTTTCTTACACGACCACTAGAGGTGCTACACTTTAAAACGTGACTATGGGTCGTAATAAGCTGCTGAACAATCAACCTATTTGGTCGTTTTTTGTAGGAGGACAGGCTGTTTTGAAGACTGTATTTCACTGACTTGATTTGTGAATTGCTGGTCAATGTGATGCTGTCCAGCACCAGATAGAGAATAGGATGCTCTACTCACCTGAAGCCCCAATACGCACTTTATGCTGCTAGGGTGCTTTTATACTTTTTGAATGGAAGTCTTTACCTGGCAGACCTTAGCATATCTTCAAAGTGTAATTTGATTCTGATGTTCTCTGGCTTCACTAACACTGCTGACCAGTGAAAATAGCGATCCAATGTAAACTTGAATGCAGCTATTATTACGTGCTATTGAATGTTAATTACAAATGTTTTTGTTTTTTTTAAATATAAGATTCAAACAATATTTCAAATGGTGTGTACTCTAAGGTTGCATTTCTTTTTGTTGAGCTTTTCAAAAGTCAAATAAAGATTCAGATTACAATCAGAAACATCAATCACCTTTATTAATAAAGCTCTATCACACATTTGTCAACCAGGGCTATTCCAAATGTACAATATATAACACCAACACAATTTGGATAAGGAAACTCCTTAATCTTAAAATAAACTGATTTGGCACACTTTACCCCACATGCTGTTTTAGCTTTATTCAAGTGTGACTTTCAATTCCATACATGTCCAAACCTGTTTTTTCATAGAGCCTCCTGCTGGTATAAAAGGAAAGTTCATTGTAGAAAAATCAAACCAATTTTATTCAAATCAATGTTCCAAACAGCTTTCAACAGGTGGAAATTAACTATACTTTGTTTCATTTATTATGCTTCACAAATCAATAGTTTTTTCTTTAACAGAAAATCAAATTACTGTGTCATTTGAAAGGGTTTGCACATACATCTCTACAGAACTGTTTTGTCTTTTTACTAGCAGACGGACCGCATGCCCAGCAGCAAACAACAGACTTCCATTAGCAACTAGCAGATGAAGAAAGTGGTTAATGCTAATTCTGTGTAAATTATTATATTGCAAACACATTAGCAAATTAGCAAATACATTAGCAAATATATTACATTAGCAAATATGTTTACACTGTAAACTTATTTGCTAATGTGTTTGCAATATACCCTCAAAATGGTGATTATATGTCATTTGTGTGTTTCCAGGGAGTTCTGCTGCCCCCAATTGGCTAGAAAATCTTGAAAATGTTTGCGCATAAACAGATCAATGGGCAAAAGCTAACCCTAACCCTAGGAGAATCTAACAAAAAGTAAAAAATAAAACAAATATCCTTAAATTACAAATAAAATACAAAAATAAACTGTCCTGCAACTTCATAAAACATGAACGATTGAATATTTGCTATTTGATTTAATACAAATGTAAATGCTATGTGACTACGTTTACTTTCATGGTCACATTTATTTATAAAAAATGACTTTCATTGCTTTCTCTAAATACTTCTCATCACAGTAACTTTCTCAGTACCTTAGTCAACATTTAAAACAATACTCTTACATGAACTCTGAACATAATACAGTTAGTGTCCATTTCTCATTCATGCACCATATTGTATGTTAGATGTTTTGATTATTTTCCTATCAGATCAAATTGATCATCATTAGACTGAATTGACTTTGAATCTGTGACCACTGTTTGTTAGGCTACGCTGTACTGTAACAATTTACTGATTTGATTTGATTTACTACCAAAAACACCATCATAAAACATGCATTAAACACAGCAACAGACAAGATGTAAAGGAAAAAATGGCGACAGATAATTGGCGACATTGACTGTGACTTGTGTCCAATAAGCCCTTAAGCATCCAACTCTGATTTGACTTCTCATTAAAAGTATTACAAGAATATCGTCAAGGTTATGCTGTCCAGGATCTAGACTAAATACACACAGTAAATGAACTTTGTACAACATACATTCTTTACATATTTAAAATAGAATATTAAAGTCAAGCATGTCATCCTATCCAGCTGTAAGCTCGGCACTCCACCAGTGGGTTTTCTTTATAAACCACCGTGTAGCCACACTCAGTCCTGAGCCGACGACACTTCTTGGGCCATGAGGTGGGCTTCATTGGCCTGGAATGGTAAAGGAGAGACGAGT